TTGAACATATTGGTGCTGAGGCCGAGCAAGTTTGGGTCGGATTTGTAATTCATTATTTATTAGTTACCAGACAAATTATATATCAAGTCTGCCATGGTCAACCACTGAGGCCTCTTCACCCCAAGCCTTTCCCCAACCTTTTTGTGCCAAAAGTGAGCTAAACAGGCCCGGTCACCCAGCACAGGACAAACACCATGTTGTAAAACATTGCCGGCCAAGGCAACAACCGTCCCAGGGTCATAAACAAGGCTAAACCCGAGCCCGGCCAAGTGACACCGGCCTCCTGTGTAGTTTCCGATGGTGAGCAACAAGTCAAAAGACTCCCTATACCCCTTTAGATCTCGGTGATCGATCGTCTCTCGGTTCAGGATGACTGAAAGACCGGTGAAGGGAGTGGCCCAAACGCGAAGAGCAATATTGATAGGATCGTCCAATGCCTCGGCATGATTGGCAAGCTTCTCGAAGGTGGCTAAACCGGACTCAAAAAGATCGGGTTGTATGACGGCATAGATTGCGCCAACAATTGCATTGGCCAATAGGACATTCTGGAGGTAGGTTGAATTGGCAGGTTCCTGAATATCGGCTGACGCGCAGTGGATCCTCGGGACCTTCATGTCATTGAGAAAACCAGCTGGGTGATAAATTTACAATCCCAGTGACCCCTTCATTCTCGGGGTGGTGATCCCACCAACTCCCATTACTTCTCTTTTTGGGGCTCAAAGAACCTGTGTGATCCCAAATAAATGTCTAGTAAAGTGAGGAAAGTCTAAGGGTGTAATGAAGTGAAAGTAATTACCCGAAGCTGTTCTGAGAACATTTCAGGAAAGTACCAAAGTAAAATGTGACCCTGCCGGTCGGTTATATGGCACGGTTGATCGAGGTAGGGGATATCGGACCCAGCTGTTTCGTACATCAGTGGGAATCGTGCCAAGAGTTTCTTCTCCAACTCCTCATTGCTTCCACTCTGTCTCGGTGACAAGTCCGCAGCATAGTCCCGGACGTCCCAAGTAGTCGTATCTGTCCAAAACTTAGTGAAGATCGGCCAGCTAGAAGTGAGACATACATGAAGATTTGAATGCTTCTTCAAGCATGTTAATTACCCTTTCAACAGATGCTTGGGCCTCCAGCTCCAACCATGGTGGTGGAGCAGGACGAGGAACGCTTGGGCTATGTAAAGACCGCAACCGGCCTCTGAAGTATCGAGCTAGATCCCTTGTATATTGAAAGAAATCGGGGGCAGTCATGAACAAAAAAAAAGATTTTTGACACTTTTAACTGGCAAAACATGAGGCTCGGGCATGGATTTATTTATTACGTAGAACAGGGACGTCTGTCAACATGTCAGGGTCATAACTGCCATTAGGATAGGATCGTGGTCTTTCCTGTCTGGTTGCACCCGGCCTTTCAGATCAGTTCTGCTCATCCAGGCTTTCAAACAAGACTCGACATGAATTTTTTTTTTAAGTAAAAAGATACAGGTGGTAATGGTATGACATATTAAGAGACCCGTGTTACGCCACATGCCCTTTCATAATAGGTGAAATGGGGGTTTGGATAGAGTAAAAAGGACGTACGGTAAGGTAACCCTCTCACCGTCGTCATCGATGATGGTCAAGAGTATCGTCCCCTAATCACCATGTTAGTGGTAAAAAGGAAGTACAAAGGGGATTGCTCACGTCTGGCAACCTGCCGGTGGAGTCTATGGTTGCAAACATGAGGCCACCGCTACTCATATTATACCAGACTCGGGTTCCTTTCTGACGAATCATCAGCTGGTTACGACCAATGGAGATGTACAGAACCTACAGGGTAGGGGTTGGGTGGAGGGATACCCAACAGACTCCAGATTGTCATGGGGGTGAAGTTATTCATGTCGCAGATGAGGGGGGTGAAGATGGGTCCTTGAAATGCGAGAGGGTTTTTAAAGGGGGAAACACGGATGTTTTCAGGTTAAATTACAACCCTCGATGCAACCCTATATCAGAAGCATAAATGATAGCGGCACAGGCCTCGAGGCCAAATTGCAAAAGAGTTGAAAGAGTCATAAACATAAGCATGGCCGGGGATTGAACCCGGAAGCTGGGGATTGAACCCGGAAGCCAACTACCATTAGACCATGCTGGCTTCCAAAGATTGTTGGTAAATCTGGGATAAGGGGTGAATTCTTGATTTCGTACTCCAATTGGTCTCATGTCCGGGCCCAGCTTGAACTGTAGTTTAAATGCCGAACAAGTCAGTGCTGAGTTTATAGGACCGGGTTCAATCGCACCCAAACAAGTATTCGACATGGTCGTCAGCTAAGTTACATTTTTTTGCCGGACTTGGCCAGGCACCGGGTTGTCTTATACACCGGGTTCACCCCCCGAACAAATCACTGCGCAGAATTTGTCCTTTTAACTGCTGCTATTAGAGTGACATGGTCGGCAGGTAAAAGATACTGACCGACATTGTCTTCAATGTTGGCTTGGCCTAGTAGTTAAGCTGGGAGGTGTACGTAGTATATGTATGTATGCCCTGGGTTCAAATCCCGAACAAGTCATAGATTCGCGTTTTGAAAAGTTTTTTACTTACTGCAGGTAAAAGATACTGACCGACCTATGTATGCCGGTTTAAATCCTAAACAAATTTTTTACTTGCTGCTATTAGAATGACATGGTCAGCAGTTAAAAGATACCGACCAACATTGTCTTCCACCGTTGGCTTGGCTTAGTGGTTAAGCTGGAGGTGTACAGAGTGTATGTATGCCTGGGTTCGAATCCCACAAGTCACTTACAACGATCGCAACTCTTTCGTTTTTGTAACTCTGGCTAAAATTTACTAATCAATTCTTACCGAGCTTGCAGACCCAGGTTAGTTGTCTTACGCTGGGTAAGTTACAAAGTGCCGAGCTTTCAGGCCAGGTGGATCATTGACTTGGCTCAGTGGTCAAGGTGGGAGGTGTACGCATTGTATCTATGTATGCCCTGCGTTCAAATCCCTAACAAGTCATGCTGTTCATCCTAAACAGTTTTTTACGTACTACTATATTAGAGTGACATGGTCGTCAGCTAAAAGATACTGACCAACTTCCTCTTGCAGTGCTGACTTGGCTTAGTGGTTGAGCTGGGAGGTATGCCCTGGGTTCAAATCCCAGAAGTCACATAGAGCGAAGACGGCCTTTTTGTAACGCTGGCTAAAATTTACTAATCCAAGGCTTGTAACATCCAAAGTCCCAAGAACGGGTAGTTGTCTTAGTTGTCTTATGCCGAGAACGGGTGACTTACAAAGTGCCGAGCTTGGACGCCTGGGTTCAAATTGCAGGCAGGTAAAAGATACTGGCCGCGATCGTCTTCCAACGTTGGCTTGGCTTCGTGGTTATGCTGGGAGGGTACGTCGTGTATGTATGCCCTGGGTTCGAATCCCACAAGTCAGTTACACCTATCGCAACTCTTGTTAAAATTTACTAATCAATGCTGGTTTGACCGATGTTGTCTCAGATCATGAAAATTTGAACTGCAAGTTCTGCCTGGTCTGCCTCTGCTTGGCTGCTAAATTAAAGGCCAAGCTGAAAACGATTCGGCTTGAAAATGCCGGCCTCGGTGATGCATCAGCTGATGAGATGTTCATAAATTCTCGTGTCCGGCCGACTCGGTGATATCCATGAACCATGACTACCATGTGGGTCTCGCCAGCTGACCCTGGTAACCAGAGTTGAGGGCCCTTGGCCGACCACCAACCCAGGCGAATTCAAAATGTCTGCCGACCTTGCATAGCCTAGCTGCTAATCAGAAGTGAAGGCCCTCGGCCGATCACCAACCCAGCAACGTTCACAACTGTCAGCCGACCTTGCATAGCTTATCTTCCATCAGCCGATATACAAATACAATGTTCAAAACTGTCAGCCGACCTTGCATAGCTTAACTATCTTCCATCAGCCGATATACAAATACAATGTTCAAAACTGTCAGCTGACCTTGCATAGCTTAGCTATCAGCCGATATACAAATACAGGGACTTGACTTCCCGGGGCAGCTTCCTACTGATCGGTGTATGCTAAATCTACGTAGCTGGCCGACCCTTCTTTACCTTGATAGTGGGATCACATCGGCCAATTCATCAACACAGGGTTATTGGCCCTCATCGGCCCATCAGCAGGCACCATCAACTATGGCCTGTTTGTATTGTCGGGCCTCTCAGTGTTGGTGGGTGATTCCTACTAACTGCCCTGCATTTTCATTAGGCAATTTTCATTAGCTACTTGGCCAATATCATTGTGATTTTCATTAGTTATCTGGACGATATCATTGTGATTTCATTACATACCTGGGCGATATTATTGGAAATTTCATTAGCTACATGGGCGATATCATTTGCGATTTTCATTAGTTATCTGGCTGATATCATTGTGATTTTCATTAGATACCTGGGCGATATCATTGGAAATTTCATTAGCTACATGGGCGATATCATTTGCAATTTTCATTAGTTATCTGGCCGATATCATTGTGATTTTCATTAGATACCTGGGCGATATTATGGGAAATTTCATTAGCTACTTGGCCGATATCTTTGCAACTTTCATTAGAAACCTGGGCGATATCATTGGAAATTTCATTAGTTACTTGGTCAATATCATTGCGATTTTCATTATTTATCTGGCCAATATCATTGCAATTTTCATTAGAAACCTGGGCGATATCATTGGAAATTTCATTAGCTACTTGGTCAATATCATTGCAATTTTCATTAGAAACCTGGGCAATATCATTGGAAATTTCATTAGCTACTTGGTCAATATCATTGCGATTTTCATTATTTATCTGGCCAATATCATTGTGATTTTCATTATAAACCTGGGTGATATCATTGGGAATTTCATTAGCTACTTGGTCAATATCATTGCAATTTTCATTAAAAACCTGGGCGATATCATTGGAAATTTCATTAGCTACTTGGTCAATATCATTGTGATTTTCATTATTTATCTGGCCAATATCATTGCAATTTTCATTATTTATCTGGCTGTTTTTTTGTGTTTTTCTCGATGAAAACAAAACCAAATAACATGATTTCAGTATATTTAGAAAGCTAAAAGAAAGGGCTACAATTATTGTATCGTGGGAAAAATGACCAAAAAAGGAAGTACTATAAGAGTCAAATATAGACTACCAAGTTTGCTGATAGACTACAAATGACTACAAAAGTCGAACTTAGACTACAAAGTTTACTCATACACTACAAAAGACTACAAAAGTCGGACTTAGACTACAAACACTTGGACGTTTACTGATAGACTACAAAAAAGTCGGACTTAGACTACACAGTTTACTGATAGACTATAAAAGACTACAAAAGTTGAACTTAGACTACAAAGTTTACTAATACACTACAAAAGACTATAAAAGTCTATAGACTACCAAGTTTACTGATAGCCTACAAAAAAGTCAGACTTAGACTACAAAGTTTACTGATAGACTATAAAAGACTACAAAAGTCGGACTTGGACTACAAAAGCTTGCAGGGCATTCAGCAGATACGTTATGGAACCATAACAATAGAAATTGACAATTGTCCCAATAAGTCATAGGGCTACCCCAATGGGCCCAATTACAAAAGACATTATGATACTATACATTGGCCCAACAACATGACAATATGTATATTTGATTGTTGGGCCCAATGACGGTGCCACAGTCCAAGCTAAGGGTTTATAGATTGGCCACATGGCTTAAATGGGGGTAATTTTGGCCGTTGATATATGACGGTATTAAGGTACCATTGATAGTTGGGCCCAATGAAGGGAAATCGTTAAGGGAGATGGTTGGGCCCAATGGCCCAATTATTAAGCTACGGTTGATGGTTGGGCCTAATGTAAGGTATTTGTTAAGGGAACAGGTTGGGCCCAATGGTAAAATTTCAATGCTATGGCTTGTAAGTTGGGCCCATGCCATGATATAGGCTATAGTTCATAGGTTAGCCCAATGATTATTTGAATTTTGCGGGTGTGGGCTTTGGTCCGGTAAACCCGCAGGTCTGCTCCTGTTCCATTGGACCCACGGCCGCACAATTGTGCAATTACACCCGCGGGTTGGCTATTGTGCAGTTACCCCCATGGGGTAGCTCATGTTCCGTTACCCCCGCAGATCAACAATTGATCCATTACACCCTCGGGCTGGCTGTTGTTCATTACCCCCACAGGGCAGCTCTTGTTCTGTTAGCCCCGTGGGTCGCCACACAGGCCAGATTATGTTCCGTTACCCCACGGGTCGACAATAGGTCCATTACACCCATGGTATCTTATTCCGTTACACCCACGATGTCCAGCTCTTGTTCCCTTAGACCTGCAGAACCTTCTTCCGTTTGGCCTGCAGGTTTCCAATTACAGCCATGGACCATTTGTGGCTCCCCCGTGGGTCTCTGATTACACCCATGGATTACCTGCTGCTCGTTACACCTGTGGCCACCCACGGACCACCTGCTGCTCCTTGACCAATTGGCCCTCTTCCATCAGCCCCCCACCCGTGGGCCACGTTTGCAGCTGGCCTGCAAAATGGACCAACAATTGTGCCTTTACATTCACAGACCGTTATTCCGTTACACCCGTGGACCAGCAATTGTGCTGTTTCATCCACGGACGAGCACTTGTTCCATTACACCCATGGGCTGCGCTCTCATCTGCGGACCTGCTCTTGTTCTGTTACCCCCGCGGACCAGCAATTCTTTTATCTGCGGACCGACGGATTACCTACCACTCCGTTTCTGCGGACACCCATTGTTGCTGTTGGACCCATGGGCCAACAGGTCTTCTGTGGCACCCATGGGCCACACCATTTGTTAAGCCCATTGGTCCATTACATCCGCGGGCCACCAGCTAGAGCTCCACGGACGTGAAC